GTAACGTTTTTTCTTTCCAAACATATAACCTTTTGTTGGCATTCTGAGTTTCAATAATGAATCGATAGACATTTTAAACTATTAAAATCAATTAATTTTAAAATATCGATATTTTTGACCTAGATCAATGTTTTCTCACTGTGCATACCCCATAATTTCCCACTAGGCGGCGACCCCCAACCATAATTGTTTTTTTTTCGTTTACAGATAAATCAATTAGTGCTCATAATTAAATAATAAAAAAAAATAGTGTTCAGACTTGCTTTTCTTTACTTTTCTATAGCGTATTCACATTATACATGTTGAATGCTCAAGTGACAATTTCACAAACATGGCTAAGTATGGTAGAACAGTCTTTGATACAGTAATCTACATCAATAGTGTTTGGAAAGTATTTACAAACACGCCAATGGTAGTGCGATGGTTGAGCTTGTTTCTGTTCCACCAGATCAGGATCAGATCTAGTAGCACAACGAATGTCATCTTTTGCATCAAGTCTGCTTCTGAATTTGGACTTAATCACTAACAAGCTGGAAAACCTTGGTTCGCAAAGATTTATTCTTGGAAATGGAAGATGAAAAAACAATCTCAAACAGAACGGGATAGGAACTAGTTTGAATACCTACTACTTTTCAGATCTGCTTGGTTACAGCACGGTAGAAAGGACAACAACAACAAAATTTCTATGTTGAATAGAACACAAAATCCAAATTTCAGGAGGTCCTAGAGCAGCGGTTCTCAACCTTTTATGCTCGGCGACCCCTTTTTACAATCCACCACTCTGCGCGACCCCCCCCCCCCCCACACACACATACAGCAATAGAAGAGTAGACAATTTTCGATGGTCTTAGGCGACCCCTGGCAAATCGTCATTCGACCCCCAAGTGGGTCGCGACCCACAGGTTGAGAACCCCTGTCCTAGAGGCTAGGCAACTCCTGGAGATTTGTCATTCGACCCCCAAGGGGGTCGCGACCCACAGATTGAGAGCTCCTGTTCCACATTAATATGTGTGGTCGAGTGTCTGATGTAACTGTGTCGAGATTGTAATGTAACCAATGGGAGGATGATCGTAGATGATAGGATAAAGGGTAGAAAACAGAATCACTTGTGTTTATTGCTTCTTCTGTGATATGTTGCGAAGTAAAATAAATAAAACAAATTATAGCTTTTATATAGCGCTACTTTCATGCTTATAGCATGCTCAGAGCGCTGTATCCAATCTCATTTGTGGACCAGTGGGGGAAGGGGGTATCTGGGACAGGAGTCGGCAACCTGTGGCTCGCGAGCCACATGCGGCTCTTTGGATGTTAAGCTGCGGCTCTTTAATTCCATGCGCAAATATTATTTATTTTATCAAAAGAAAAAAAACATTTAAAAATCATTCTGGTTCGATTAACGAGTATTAGGCACCGATTCTATCTCTCAGCCACTTGTACTCGCTTTTCAACGCACCCCTTCCCCATGTCTTGAAATGTAACATATTTGCAGGTGGAAGATATTTAACTTTCTTCTGCCTTATCACGTGATATAGATGAGTTTTGCGACATAAAAAACACGGCACTAGTTGGCCTTGTTGTCAGATATATGTCTTCACAAAGTCCTAAAGAGGAAATTCTAGGATTGATACCTCTCTCGTGACAAATTAGAGAAGAAGATACAGCTAATGTCGTGCAAAAATACATTGAAGACAATATAATCGATATAATAAAATCGTTTCAATTGCAACTGATGGAGCCAGTATGACAGGAAAAAATAAATAGCAACTACGGGCAAAATAAACCACCAAATTTTTAACTTTCTCTGCATAATATATCGAAAAGCGCGTTGTGCCCAAATATTTCCGGCCGAAATAGTTGAGGGAACAGAGCGTTCAATTACTTCATTTTCATATTGTAAAGCAATATTGCGACAAAACCAGTAAAACTGTTGACACGAGTTACTTCAGTTATAAGGAAAAATTAAAGATAAATTTGCTGACAGATTTGAGCTATTCAAAACAAACAAAACAATTGTTGCCTTTATACAAAATCCTCTCAACACAAATAGTTACGAAATCCATATTGAGCCATTAGGAATTGATACTGTATCTCAATCTCTAGACTCGCAATTGATCGATTTAAAAGTAAAGTTTTGTGGAATGGAAAATGTACAGAGTTGAACATCAGAGTTGAATGTCCAGAGATGTACGTAACGCAACAAAAGTGGACAGCTTTTTATTCCACGCATGGAATAGTCTTTCGGGTTACTACAGTCAGGTGAAAAAGTTGGCATGTGAAAAACACTATTTATATAAAGATAATTTGGTATTTTTTCTTATGAATAAAAAGATTAGTTGTTTTTTTTAATCGAAAATCTTTATTTATGCGAGTACTATTTATTGTTTGGAAGAAAAAAAATTGTGGCTCTTTAACAACATTGAAATTTTGTAAATTGTAATTTTTGGCTCTTCCGTCTCAAAAGGTTGCCGACCCCTGATCTGGGAGAGGGTTTTCCGTGCTGCCTATAGGCACTCATTAAACACAACTCGAACCTCGAGCCCCCTTCATAGGTAGCAAGACAAGATATAGATTATTAATAGCATCATCGCTACTTCGCATCTATATTTTTAAAATCATTTGACGTCCTGTAACTTTATCAAGGTTTTTACATTTCTTTATTAAAATTTCTATATTAAGTGAATATATATGCCTACAAAATTGGTTGGACTAACTGTCTGATGCACAACTCCATCATGACACATCACATTTTGTAAAGATTTTTATAATATATATATATTATATTATCTATTCTGCCTTGAATGCCTACAAACTTGCCTAGAGTTAATACGTTCGAAATAAATAATAGTTAACCTTTGGTACAGGACTACTGGCCACTTTGTCACTAGGTTTAACTCCTTCCATAGTAGGACTTCCGATCATTCTTGTCAGAGGGACGTATCGTGCTGAGAACAAAAAACAAAGAATATGTTGACATAACTCCTTACCAACACCCTCAATCAGAAATGTTTACAAGACACTAGCAACCAGGAATGTCTGAAGGAGACATCAGCAGCAATGAGAACTGTCTTCAGGACACAACACTCACTGTCAGATCTCTGCAGGAGACTACACTCACAATCAGGAATGTCTGCAGAAGACACACTCGCAATTAGAATGTCTGCAGGAGACAGGTTTAACAATCAGGAATGTCTACAGAAGACACACTCGCAATTAAAATGTCTGCAGGAGACCGCTTCAACAATCAGGAATGTCTGCAGAAGACACACTAGCAATTAAAATGTCTGCAGGAGACATCTTTAACAATATGGAATGTCTGCAGAAGACACTCTCGCAATTAAAATGTTTACAGGAGACAACTTTAACAATTAGGAATGTCTGCAGAAGTCAACACTAGCAATCAGAAAGGTCCGCAGAAGTCAACACTCCCAATAAGAAATGTGTAGCAGACAACACTCACTGTTGTTTTCATCTATAAACTAAAATAAAATTAAGCGTTATAATGTACATTTCGTAAAAGTGTTAAACTTCATTCATTTGAATACAAATTTGTTCATATGTGGAACATTTATGTGGGTAAATGTACAAATAAGTACTTTAAAAGTTTATATCTGTACTTAATGTTTTTCAGATTGTGAATACGGAGACCTGACCCGAAATGGAATTTGTAGCAGAAGGCAGTGTTCTGTCAGTAGTGTCAAAGAACAATGCTGTCAAACGTGTGCCAAGATCAACTCAGGGCATTGTCATATCCCAGCACTGCCAATCTATACATTACTGTTTGTTATATCTCTTTTAAATGCTGGTGTTTCCTAGTTACATTTATTTGTGCAATAGTTAGATTCATCAATCGTTTAGTTTACAAACTTCCAGACAGCATTATCTGTTTTCTTTGTAACTTCAGTTTATTCTACAAAAACATATATACAGTAATGTCACTACATCGGATATAATATAAAGACATATAAAAACACAAAATGACTCGGATTAGGAGCCACGTAGTAAACTATTTTATTACCTTTTTTAAATAGTTTTTAACTTACTCAATCTGTGAGATGTTAGGGTATCACTTTTGACTCTATTCCATCCCATGTCATTGGTCTATGGTTCAAGTTGAGATCTGTCAAATTTCTCTTCTCTGTCGTCTTTCAAATTTCTCTTTTCTGTCGTCTTTCAAATTTCTCTTCTCTGTCGTCTTTCAAATTTCTCTTCTCTGTCGTCTTTCAAATTTCTCTTCTACCTTTCATCAAGTTTCTTTTTTTTCAAATGCATGTCTAATATGTTGGGCAATTTGAACAAGAATCCTTTTTTCTTTTCATAAGTTTGTAGGCATAACTAGTTTTTTTCTAATTAAAAATTAACAATATCTTGATAGTTGTTTGTAAAATTACTTTGACTATGAATGAATTAACTCACTGTGGTGATAGTTGATTGTATTGTATGATTTGTTGACTATGCGTTTGTTGATTCGAAATGCTGATAATTGATTATAGCAATACTTTGTTACCCATAAATGAATTGTTGGTATTTTTTTAAAAATTGTTATGGTTTTGTGTAACATTTTAGTTTATGATGTTTTCTTGCATGTTACAAAAGACAAATTGCATTAACATGAAAACTGATGAGCATAAATCAACATTTATTATATTCCTGTTTTAAACTGGACAAACCTGCAGGCATCCCATAGGTGAGAAGTCACAGTTATTTTAATGGAGTTTTAAAAAAACTGTACATGACAATGGCCTGAACAATATAGGTGCTGTTGATGCTTTAACAGTTGAGTTGTTAAGACTTCCTTAAAAATATGTATAAAATTATAACCTGACACCAACTGTTTGTAATATCTGTATATAGTAAATATATTACCAGTTTAAAAAAAAAATGTGGATTGTATAATGGGGGAATACAATATAAGTATTAATTATAGTATATATTGTTAAATAACGTTGATAATCTACTTATAAATTCATAATGAATCTTAATTAACTAATCTTAATTAATCTTTCTCTCTCTTTCAGTCTATCCCATTGTCTCCTCTGTTCAATTGTGACTTTCTTTTGACCCAAGATCAAAGATTTATTAGCGCGTACAAATCAAAGATAACTGCTATACCAAACTTTCAATAGTTTCCCTTCAATAAGCAGGCTAAATGAAACTGAGACGCCTTGATATTAGCGCGCACTCGACCGGTGTGGCCTCTGGTGTTTAAATTTCCGAAATTAGTTCAGATTCACATTTAAGTTGAACTGAATACTTTGGTTGAACATTAAATTCAGAGTCGTTCGAATACCGAGGTCAGTCATCGGCCTTTTTAAAACGACTATGGTTCATCTCGAACACGTTTTCATATGGCTGTGGGGTCCTATAATACCGAGGTACCACTGAATATATCTAAAATCTTGTTCGTATAAAAAAAAAATGTCACCTTTTGTCTCGAAAGGCAATGGATGCGTCCAAATGAGTCACTGGTTTTGGTTTAATCTTGAAACGGGGCAGAATCTTGTTCTTATTTTTATAAATAATAGAGAATGTTTCTAATGAACAACTTTAGATTTTTTTTATATCAATGTTTATTGTTTTATACACTACAATCGTCTACGCTATTGTTTACAACTCTGTTCTTGAATCCCATGTATTCTACTATCTTCTATTCAATTTTTATGCACCTATTGTTGAATGTTTTTTCTTTGTTCAGTGCTGGCCTTAGATAATTGAAAGCCCTAGGCAAAGTGAATTTGGTGGCCATAAATGAAATTTTAAAAAAAATTAATAGAAACGGCGAAAAAAAAAATAATTCCTAAAAAAACCTGCATCTGAAAATAACTGAAATTTATATATTGCGATTTCCCTAGTAAAGACTAGTAGACTGGTAAACATAGCCATAGTGCTCTACTATGTTTGAGATCTGATCCAAGCTTCGATTTTTTTTTCCTCTAAAATAAGTCCTTCGCGTGAATGCTGTCTAGTTTTCCTATGCCTAAGAGCGGCTCTGCATTGTTATTCAAATGTTAGCGCTAAGTCTTTCTTCTTAGTAAAACTTTTTACCAATGTACGATTTGCCGAGGTGCGGTGGCTAAGTGGTAAAGCACTTAGCTTCCGAACCGGGGGTCTCAGGTTTGAACCCTGGTAAAGACTAGGATTTTAATTTTGGGATCTTTGGGCGCCTCAAAGTCCACCCAACTCTAATAGGTACCTGACATTAGTTGGGGTAAAGGAAAGGCGGTTGGCCGTTGTGCTGGCCACATAACACTCGTTAACCGTGGGCCACAGAAACAGATGACCTTTACATCATCTGCCTTTTATGGATCGTAAGGTGTGAAAGGGGAACTATACTATGATTTGCTCAAACCTTCATGTATTACTGACAAAACGTATATACATTGATATATCCTGATGTTTGCTATAAGAAATATTCTGTACTGTTACATTCCAACATGCGTTATACTTAATATCTATATCAAACTTGATCCATTGTACACATTTTGTCTCACTGTTCTGTACGCAGTGATATCATTGTTTTGTTGAGTTGATTAAAGTCTGTAAAAACTGTCACTTCTGTCGTTTTTTATTTTGAAATTTTCCCCAACAGTAAAGGTCAAAGTTCATCAGGAGAATAGGACTGAAACAGGTTTATGTTAAAAAGTTTGTAAAATGTTTGACATGTTTCGGATGTTCCTTTAGAGTTGAAGACCAGCTACTTCCTAATTTAAACCTCCCGTAGGACGACTGGGATGGCAGTGGGCAGGGTATGAACCCGGGACCATTGAGACCACTGAATGACATATGCAGTGCACATTTCGCACGACCAGGCAGCCATCCTATGTTATAGTCATAACTTGGAAGCATCTTAGAAGACCTAAAGTAAGAGTGCATCAGCTGGGAAGAGGCTGTAAAAGTCGCCAAGACCGATCTCTGTATAGAGAGCTAGCAATATAAAGCGCTGAGCGGCGCGGGAGTATAATAAGTGGTACCATCTTTTTCTACATTAGAAATTCCACAGAAAGTTTTAATTTAGACTCCTTACTAAGACGAACAGATGATAAGATATACCAATTCTAATACCCGGTAATTAAACAAAAAAAAGGCAGTTTAGCAACTTCCTCAACACGAAATGGTATTTATGATGTGAACATAGGCATGTATAAATATAGACTGGAAAAAAGGAAATAACTTCATGTAACTTGAAAACGTATATCTATTGTTGTCGGATTTCCGAATTCTGAAAAGTTGCATGATCTTCAGTCCTAGAGTTTAAACAAAACTACACTGCTCATAAATGCTGTATAATAAAAAACACAAAACTGCAAGTCACAAATTTTCGTTTCATAAAACTCTTTTATCGGCCAGTCTATATTTATTTATGTCTATGGATGTGAAAGATGTACATCAAGGGTCGATATTGGTATTAAATAGTACTGGTACTAGTCTTGATTGGGTTCTCTTTCTTCGTTCTTACTAACAACATTAGAAAACAAAACAAAAATTGCAATAAATCCATAATTATAAACTTTTTTTTTCATATCGGGGTCACAGTATTGTGTACGATGGGCTGACGGTGAGAAAATATTCTAATGCTCTGGGACTGGGGCGGTTGTCTGACTCCCTTCTCCCTAAGACCACCTCTGATTAATTTAATCGTAAATAATTATTACCAATGGTGATACTGCCAAGAGACTTTAAAATAAACCACCCCCATCCCTGGACGCTACTCGCTTTCTTTGCATCTGTGTTTAAGCAGTGGTGTGTACACATGAACACACACATAAGCTACAGCATTTCAGTGTGAAGATAACGCGTGTTTAAACTACTTTATCCATAGGTCACTAAGTGACGTCATCTCCACTAGATAATCGCACAAACCACTATAGCCTAAAGCTATATAAGCCATATGTATGTAAGTTTGACCCTAAGTTTAAATTATAAAAAAAACTGCTAACAATCAGACTATGATGTTAGTCCGACGCGACGCTAATTACAATTTCTCTGGACAATTAAACCGATTATAGATAATAAATAATTTATCTTATCTATATGATACAGACGTTACTTAAAAAAAGAAGAGGATAACTTCCTACGCGTCATGCATTTAGTCATGTATATTAACCAATGACCTAAATTCTGCCAAGTCACTGGTTTTGCTGGCTAGCTCAGGCGACCCATTCCATGCTCTAATAGCACTAGGGAAGAAGGAGTATTTGTACAAATTTGTCCTAGCATATGGGACGAGGAATGTGCCTTTATCTTTGTGTCTTTCAGAGTATTTTATTAAATTTTGTTTTTGTATTTGAAGATTATGGTTCAGTGTTTTATGTATAATTGCTACTTTACTTTTTAATCTTATATCCTGAAGGCTTTCTAAATTTAGTGATTTTACTAAAGGTGTTACTCTAGTCCAATGTGAATATTCGTTAGTTATGAATCTCATTGTGTCTGTTCAGTTTCTTAATGTTTTCTTGAGTTGAGGGGTCCCAAACAGAGGAGGCATATTCTATTATTGGCCTAACCAAGGTTAAATAACATTTTAGTTTTATGTTCTTATTTGATTTATAGAAATTTCTTTTAATAAACCCAAATGCTTTGTTGATGTTTTTTTTTATAGTTTCATGGATATGACAGTTTTTCATTTATTATAACACCTAGGCATTTTGCGTTTTTAGCCTGTGTTACTGGTTTACCATGAATAAGATAAGTGGAATTAATAAGTTTTAGTTTTTTTGTTACTCTTAATAACTGACATTTTTCTGGGTGGAAAGACATGCTCCAATTTTATTCCCATTTCTGTAATTCATCTAATTCTCTTTGTAAAATTTCTGTAACTTGTGTTGTTTTTATTGTTTTATATATTATGCAATCGTCTGCGAATAATCTGACTTTTGTTCCTGAATTAATTCAATTTGGTAAATCGTTTATGTAAATTAAAAATAGTAGTGGGCCTAAGACTGTTCCTTGAGGTACACCTGAGTTTACTGTTATTGGTGTTGATTTAGAGCCATTTATAATTACAGTTTGTTCTCTCCCAATTAAATTCGATCTCCGCCAGTGATGCAATGGACTATCAATTCCAAAGTATTTTAATTTTGTAAACAAACTATGGTGGCAAAATTTGTCAAAAGTTTTGGAAAAATCTAGTAAGATAGCATCTATTTGCTCACTGTTATCTAAGATTTTTTAAAAATCATCAATTAGTCCTGTTAGTTGTGTTTCACATGATCTATATTTCCTAAAGCCATGTTGGTATGGAGTAAGGACATTATGTTTGTCTAAGTGGTTTATGATGTTACTACATATTATGTGTTCTAGGATTTTACTTGTGTAGCTGGTAAGTGATACTGGTTTTTCCTGGGTTTTATTGTGCGTTATTTACTGTTTACTAACAAAATTATTTCCAAAAGTTAGAACTGCGTTACAAGAAGTGAAAGGCTAATGTTTAGTTTGACTAGACACTATAAAACAAATGGACTACTGTAAATAAAATCAGCAAATTGACACGTAGATCATTTACTTTGGCTTACACTAGTGAGTGACATAGTTACTAATCAGTGGCATAGTAACTTGTCAGTGGCATATTAACTAGTCCGTGGCATAGTAACTTTGACTCGAACGGGCTTATTACGCCCAGCACCCACAGAGTGCATTCTTGTAAATGTAATGACAAATTGTGACTCTTCTATCTGCAAACCCTGCTCTCTCCCATCCCTCGTCGTCTTGCGAGAGGGTTGGACAAGGCAGTAAATTATCTTTAACTCTGAAGGAACATCCGAAACATGTCAAACATTTTACAAACATTTAATCGCGTGCAAGTCAAAGCAGAAAACATTTTGAGTTTAGAAAATAAGTGAATATGTTTGTTTATGATGTAAAAAAAATCGTTGAGTATACTGGTTTCGTTTAGACTTAAGACCTTCATGGTTGAACTCTACCTAAGCCAAATGCATTCTTTAGTCGAATCTCTTCACTAGCCTATGTAGATGAACAGACTTTCAAACAATGGCCTTTAACTCTCTTAATTCTCTCACCCCTAACCTATGTAAAGTAGAAGATGTACATGACAGCTGAGATAAGGGTCTATGACCTCAGCACACTTGTGTCATTGTCACGTGCTGAGAATGATAGACTCTCAACTTGCTTTCATTGGTCAGTCTTGATCAACTTCAGTTCGTCTCTATAACTTGCAGTGAAGCGTAGACCCTCAACATATTGGGGGGGGGGGGGGAGGGGGGGCGGTACTCTGTCCTTCTTTATTTTCCTTTTTTTTTTAATTTCTAATACATAGAGACAATATTGGCCCGAATAGCACAGTCCACATCAGCCCTTTCAAAACTTAAAATAATATGGAAAGACAAAGGCATAGCCCTCGGCACCAAAATCAGACTGATCATGGCCACATTTTTATATGCTTGTGAGTCTTGGACACTGAATGCAGAGCTAGAGAGGAGGATCCTAGCCATGGAATTGAGATGCTACAGAAGGATCCTAGGCATCACATTCAGAGACCGCATCACAAACCAAGAGATCAGAGACAGGGTTACTGCAGCGATCGGAGCCCATGATGACCTGCTAACTATTGTAAAAAGACGAATGCTTATAACCTATGGCCACATTACAAGATCTACGGGGCTCGCAAAGACCTTCCTTCAGGGAACAGTGCCAGGAAAAAAGAAGAAGAGGCAGACAGAAAAAGCGAGGGGAGGACAACGTTAAAGAATGGACGGGCCTGCCGTTGAGAGAGATTCTAAACAAGACAAAAAAAAAGGTAGGAATGGAGAA